AAAAAAACCAAAACCTATCTATCTATATATACACATATATGTCAGAAGAAGATTGAATACCAAAATATATACACAGAGGGTGCCAAAAAAATGTATACACATTTTAAGACTGGCAAAAATTATTAAAATTGTAATAATATATGCCGATAACAAAAGATGAATACAAGTCACACGTGACTTCTGCAATTACAAGAGGTGCTCAAAGTGATTACCATCAGTGTCCAGACACTTCTGATTATGGCGAACTACTGCTTGAGCAACGTTGACCAAAGGGTCCACTTGTCTACATTTTTTGGCACCCCCGGTATATATATTTTAAAGTATAATTTCCATTTTATTTTTTCCCCCAGAGAATATTTCTTTGGTCCCTAAGGACTTAGCTCCTTACATGGACTTTGGTGGAGATTGTGGGGCAGCACCTGCAGGTCTAAATAAAGGTGGGGTGTTCGGTCCTTCCGGGTTTCCCAGGAACGATTGCCGATGACCTTGCTGTGAATGACACAACTCACACAGTTATGTGGTTTCACACACAGCCTGGGAAGCACATAGGCGGCGAAGACACTCGCTTCAGAAATGTCCCTGGGGCTGACCAAGTGGCGCGTTGGTTAAGAGTCTGCTTGGGACGCCAGCTCTGAGCAGCAGGGCCCAGGTTCAGATCCCACATATGAGGGCCAGTGACACTGCCCTCTACAGCTGAGATGCTGAACAACACCTCAGCCTGGAGCTGGGCTGCCGTCGCTGGCACCCGTGTAGGCTGCAGCCCCTGCTGCAGTGGGTTGCCACGGGCTACTGTGTGTAGCCAGCAGCCAGCGTGAGCAGCATCCAGAAGCCGGTGACTGATCTGCCTCGCCCAGGAAGAGCGCAATGATGGTGCCAACTTGGGCCAGTGAAGCAACGTCCTCCACAACTAGACTAAAGAACAAAAGAACAGCAACTTGTCTGTTCCCCTTCCCCCAATNTTATTCAAATCTGCGCCGCCCCTCTCGTGTCCCATTTGCCCTTGCCACGCTGGACGTGACAGTCTGTCTCCAGACTAACCACTCCAAACCTCTCCTACGGTACCCCCTTGCATACCGGGGAGGGGCAAGCAGGGTGAGCACACCTGCATTCTAGGCAGAGCAGAGCACCTGGGCAGAGCCTTGGAGGGGAAAGACCTTTTGTGGTGGGTTTCAGAAATAGCCAGGCATGCTGTAGCACCTGGCACAGAGAGGGGAAAGGAAGCAGCGGAATTTGACAGTGAAAGTAGTAAAAGGGGGCCGATACTGGGGAGCCCACCTGTCAGCCAGGGGCATGGACTTTATTCTGAAGGTAATTGGAAGCCATGGAAGGTTTTTAGCAGGGGTGGGACAGGTTGGCATTTTAGAAAGGATTTTTTTAAATGTAAGGGAGAGACTTTTTCTCCTATCAAATGGCAAAGCGCTTTAAAATGATCCTTCTCAGGACCGGTAACATTTCAGCACACTGAGTGCTCTCACGTGTAGCTGAATGGGCTGAGTTGGTTTGACCCTTCTGGAAAGCAGCTGAGCCCATGTGTAGTACTTGAGGAGGGTTGGCCCCTTTGACCTGCTGATTCCATTTCTAGGACTCTCTCCTCTGACACAATTAGAAAAGGGATCAGAGATTGATGATGTCCAGTGGGAGGGAATTGCTCAAACAAATGAAGGTGAAGTATCATGTAATGTTTTATAACAATTAATATAGTTTTCC